ACGGGGTTTCACCATGTTGACCAGGATGGTCTCGATCTCTTGACCTCGTGATCCACCCGCCTCGGCCTCCCAAAGTGCTGGGATTACAGGCTTGAGCCACCGCGCCCGGCCAATATGTACAGTTTTAAAAAACACAGATTTTATGAGCTAACCAAAATGGAAATGTGAAAAATTGTGTTTTTTCTGTAGAAGGAGAGAGTCTGATTTGCAGGTACATGCATACCCACAGTACTCACTGATAATTCTTTTAAACTTTACTGAAATTTTTTCCTTAGCCTGAAATCATTAAAATATATTTAATTAATGACGCTGAGGTGGATTTGTTGTTTCTGTCTTCCTAATATTACTTCCCCATTCTTTAGGTAATAACACCTCAATTTTCTCTAAAAGAAACCACACACCCTATTTCCAGTTCCTGTGGTTTGGCTATTGCTGACCTTATGTCCTAGGCTCTATGACTCAGGCCTCATCAGTCAGCATACTTTATCCAGTCGTCTGTTGGAGCCAACTCATACAAAGTTGTCCAAACCAACTGGTAAATGTTCAGAAATTCCATGTGCCAGTTGTTAAACAATCACTATTAAAATTTAAAGCACATAACCTTATAATTAAATTATGTTAAAAATGAAGGTAATGATACATCAACCTTATCACTTCCTAATCATTTGACTGCATTTTACAATTGTTTATGCTCCTGAGGTTACTTACATCTATTGGATGTGATAGTGGAAATACTGGATAATGGTGTGCGGCTATACATCTCCTCCCAATTCCATGTTCTTTGTCTTCCCTTGATAGCTTGAAATTGGCCATGGTAGCAGTATTTACACTACAGAACTGCTACAAGATCAGGGTATACCCTTTCTTGCCAAAAAGATTGTTAAACATTTGGCAGTTGTAGTGGCTTGAATGGTGGTCCCTAGAAAAATATATGCAAATCCTAACCTGTGGAACTTGTGAATGTGACCTTATTTGTAAAAAGGCCTTTGCAGCTGTAGTAGGTTAAGGATCTTGAGATGAAATCCTCCTGGATTATCCATTTGGGCTCTTAATATAATCGTGTGTGCCCTTATAGGATAAAGGCAGAAGCAATTTGACACAGACACACCAAGGAGACATAAAGAAAAGATCAGGAAGCAATGTGACCACAGAGGCAGAGATTGGAGTGACATGGCTGAGGACCAAGGAATACTTGGAGGCACTTGATGAGAGCTTGATGAGAAAGAAACAGAACCTCCCCCCAGAGCTTCCAGAGGTAGCACGGTCCTGCTGACTCCTTGACTTAGCGGTGGTGGCCTCCATAAATGTGGGACAATAAATTTCTGTTGTTTTAAGCCACCACTTTTTGGTAATTTGTTATGGGAGCCACAAGAAACTATTAATAATATACAAGCTCAGCACTGCAGCACTAGTGTATGTTCAGGGATGGGCGTGTGATACAAGCTAGGGAATGGGAAGTCAGCTTCTATCGTAAAACAAACACTCTCCTTTTCCCTGGGGTTGCTGAGTGGTTCCATCTTTGCATTATATATGCCTAAGAATGAAAACAACACAGAAAGTAGTAAAGTTTAGATTTAAAGAAAGACATTTCTGTCAACATTGTTCAAGAAACTGGATCTATCCTACCACTGGATTTTTAAATATTACATATTATATGAGAAAATTAATTTCCTTTTTAAATCAAATTCCTATCCAATATATATATGTGTCAATTTTTGGAGAACGTCCCAAAGTGCTCGTCTGCACAGAGAGTGTTTTAAATACATACAGTTGCTATCACTTGGTCAGTTACTATTTAAATGAGGCATAACTAAGAAAGACAATCAGGAAAATATATACCAAACAGTGAACAATTTAAGACCTCGCTGAATTCAATCACATTTATTTGTGCTACAAACACTTATATTAAGCCCAACCCTTATCTAAAGCATGTGACTCAGGACAGATATCCATATATTTAAGAGCTTACAATTTATTTGCCAGTAAGGAATTTGGTATAGCCCACATACTGAGGTGATTAGCAGTATTAGCTTTTCATTGTGCACTCTATAATTTTCTGAATAGCTCTAAATTCAAGTAATTTTATTATTTTTCCTAAACAGAATTTGGTTAATGCACAATTAAAATACTTTAAATTTTTTATGAGATTGCATTTAACTACATCCACAAATTATACCAAAAAATCTTTTGGCAAATTGAACGCTTTGGGTGGAGAAATAAGGTGATTTTCTATGATACTGTACCTCTGGTTAATTTTGTACCTTTGGATAATTTTTATTGTTAGTGTGGAAAAGCACTTTTCTGAAAGGAGCATGTCACAGAAAACCCCAGGGATAGCCATATTATATTAATTATTGTGAAAATAAAAATAAAATGCTTTTACATTCAGCATTTCTATCTTTAATGATTTTTCCAGGTTTAAGAGGTTTCAAATTAATTTTGTTGCCCATAATCCTGTTTCTTTTCCTGCACTTTCAAATACCTTTGTTTTTTGATGAGCACATTTTGGATGAATTCTCAGTCAACTTTTTAATCTAATCAAATTCAGATAAGTTTAACTCAGATAACATTTACAGTGAGCTCCTTGATAGTTGATTAACTGGGAGCCCATCTTTCAGAAGTCTTACAAAAAGAAAAAGACATTTGAGGATTGCTTTTTGCTAAAAGAGACCATTACTAATGCTGATGTCACTGGCATCAATAAACTAACACCCACTTGTCTTGCTTTAAAATAACAATAGGCTTTCTAATGCAAATATTCAAATATTATATTATTCTTTAGCACTTCTGTATTTGCTAGTAGCATTACTTATCAAAAGGGGGATTGTTTTTAATATTTTCATGAACAAGCAAGAAAACCATACCACGTCACACACATGCACAAGCACATGCATGCAAGGAGCATAAACGATTTCACTAAAGACATAGCATCCATGGTTCAAGCAACTGTATTAATTCAAGTCTACTTCCTTATAGTCTAGAACAATCTCCCTCTTTGCTACACAACAGTAGCCACTAAAATCTTTTGGAAGATTAGGGTCATTCTAGTTAAAAGAAAACATGAAAAAAATGAAAGCTTAGTTTTAGGATTCTTTCGGTTTTTCTTTTTTTTTTTTTTTTTTCCTATAATAGTCTCCCTCTTTGCTACACAACAGTAGCCACTAAAATCTTTTGGAAGATTAGGGTCATTCTAGTTAAAAGAAAACATGAAAAAAATGAAAGCTTAGTTTTAGGATTCTTTCGGTTTTTCTTTTTTTTTTTTTTTTCCCCTATAATAGCCTAAAATAAAACTTGGGAACAAATGAGGTTTACCAATGACAGGAGTAAACAGACTCAAAGTAAATGTTTATAGGAAAGGCGAGGAAGCTACCTCCTTTTCATTAACAAAAAGCAGCTTTTAAATCTTACTCATTCTTGATCATGCTGGCTAAGGAGAAGCCCAGCAAGTTTGCTGTTTCCTTAAAGCTAAAACAAAACTCAACACAAAAGTTGAAATCTAAGGAACCAAAGAAAATCAGTGATTTGTTCTTTGATGACAGCTTTATGCTAGCAGCACAAGGGCATCTCTAGATTAACTGTATTCTTCATGCGGAAACCACTGTCGAAATCTAGGTGAGTGGATATAATTAAGTAGTTCTATGGGTCCAACTCTAACATGTCTTTTTAAAAAAGAAAAAAATCACACACCCCAACAGTTGCCCAGGAACCTGAGGAGAAAAATAGCCTTCTAAGAGTTAGGCCCTCAAGATACTTCAAAGCTGCCTGGGCAATGACTTGGAATGACTATAGTGGTGAGCCATTCTGCCTTGGACCTGAATCTAGATTGATGACCTAATATATCCTTCCCAACTCTGCCTGCCATAGTTTTATGAACATCAAGGACTGGGTGTCTGCCACTGTCAACAAATAGAGCTTCTCCAGAGCATTTCCATCCATAGAAACTCAAATATCCCCAAAAGAACATAGATCACAGTCTTCCAAGGCTGCTTTGGGATGTGTCAGGGTGCCTCTAGCCTTCACTACAAATGGTATGGAAACTGTTTTGGTACAATAATTCTTCAAGAAAAGGAAGAGTACCTGTTACTGCCCTGTGTTTCCTTGGTCAGGCCAGGTGCAGTGGCTCATGCCTATAATCCCACTTGGGGATGCTGAGGCAGGGAGGATCTCTTAAGATCAGGAATTCGAGACCAGCCTGGACAACACAGGGAGACCCATTTCTACAACAAATTTAAGAATTACCCAGGCATGGCACTGTGTGCCTGTAGTCCCAGCTACTTGGGAAGGCTGAGGGGGAAGGATTACTTGGGCTCAGAGGTTGAGGCTGCAGTGAGCTGTGATCCTGTCACTGCACTCCAGCCTGGTTGACAGAGTGAGATTGTTTCAAAAAAAAACAAAAAAAAAAGGTGGGGGGTTTGGGTCAGAGCAGCAAGAATTCACTGAGAAGCTAATAAAGCTTAGCTTAAGGGCTTCTCCTTTTTAGGGTCCTCTTCCAAAATCTTGTGCCTAATTTTATATTTGCAATTTTACCTTCATTTTATTAAGAGTCCCTTTAATATAAGCTATACATTCTACAAAATGGGGATCCGCTAGAGAAATTGCACCAAACTAAGCTAGAGAAGTTGCACCAAATTTTAGCTCAATAAAAGAGTAAAATTTAAACACAAACTCTTTGTCTTTTATGGACACTCCCTCACCCCTACTCCTGGCAAGTCACCAATGGGACTAACACTACTCAGGTTGAGTCCCTGGTTGTCAGTTGTCCTTTCCTAACTGTGGCAGTCATTCAAAAACTGGCTGCAGTTTCAAGTTTTGCCCCTCCTTGGAAGAACACTCCACTGTGGGCCAATTATTACAATGGCTTATAGACTCTAGAGACCAGATGAGTTTCCAAGTGTGGTCCACCTTTTGGTTAAGTGGTATCATTGTTCCAATGTCAACTAAGTTTTTGTTTTACAGTAAAGTTGATGGATTTGGACCAGGCTTCCACGCTTTCCTAAGAGGTCTCTCAGAAGAGCCAGCCATAAAAACATTTTTTTCTGATTACAAAAGTAATTACGTATACATATAGATATATATGTACGTGCATAAACATCTTGAAACTTTATAATATGTAGCATAGAAAGTAGAAATCCCCCATAATCCCACACAGCTGAGAAAAGCAGTTAAAATTTTTTCAAGGCCTATATTAATATTTCACTTATTATTTTACAAAAAATGGTATTATACTCTCCACACAAAAGCATGCTGTTTTCCATCTAGCGATATGTCTTAGACATCTTGCCATGTCAGTTGGTAAAAAGTGATTTTTTTTAAATCTTCTATTAAATAGCTTCATGAAATTGTATTGTATGGCTGAACCATACTCTCGTTAACCAATTGCCTGTTAATGCACCTTCGAGTTCTTTCCAGTTTTTCCTATAACAAATATTCTTGCAAATATCATTTTACTCTTAAACATCTTGGAGCAGTTGTAGGAGTCTTTCTCTACAGTGAATTCCCAGGAGGTGAATTATTGTTGGGTCAAAGGGTATGAGTATTTCATTTTTCATACCTATTGCCAAATTGCCCTCCACTAATTTTATACCCATTCATACTCACAGCCACCCTGTAAGAAGCTGTCTGTTTCCCCACCCTCTTAGCTACACTAAAATCATGCAATTTGGAAATGTCTGATGTGAGTTAGAAGTTAACAGGTTCAGCCTGTGGAGTTTTTTTTTCCCTTTGTGAAAAGCCAGCAAAGAGATCAAAAGTCTCTCCCTTTCCTTGATGAACTCCCTGCTCTGGGTGAGCCAACTGCCCAGACAGACATCTACTTAATGCAAGAGGTAAAAATTCTAATGCTTAATACTTGCGTCTGGCTGGATTTATTAGAAACAATTCGTCTGTGAATGTATAAGAAAACGTGTTAGTGAGAAAATACTTAATAACTTAATGATTAAAGAAAGAGAAATTGGTCCTTACATTTTAGCATTGCTGTTTTAATATAAACAACACATTTTATCTTATAGCATCAGAATGTTTACATCTGTGGAATTCTTAGGTTTCATTCCTATGTTTATTGGATCAAACAGTTTTAAAATTCTAGTCTTCAAAGGTGTGTGAAAAGTGACCCTGAGCCAGCCCTTTAAGGAAGAGTAAGGTTTGCCAATACCCAGTCTTACAGAGCACGTTCTGATGGTTACTATGGTTTATAGCTCCAGAATTAGGATCATTAGGCATTAGAATGAAAAGAAATTTTAGAACTTTTCTAGTGAAAAGATTATCAAACTCTGCTCCCCGTAAAGCCTTGGGTTGCTTCAGAGAGTTGAGAGAGTAAGGGAGGAACAAGCAGCAGGGAAATTGAAGAGTTCCTGGTAATCTAGCCGCAATTCCACTGCATCAGCCCCATTTTGATCTGTGTCATATAGTGGGTTGTGTACTGTGTTATCTGAGGCACACTGATTTCTCGTTTCCCTTGTCTATAAAATAGACATAATAATAGTGCCTATTTTAGAGTAGTGAAGATTAAACCCAATAAGACTACACATGTAAAGTGCTTAGTTAGCCCAGTGTCCTGCATATGCCAAGGGCTCAGTAAAGGTTGGCTATTTTATCTCAGACTTTGCTCAGAAACAGGATTCTGCTGCTAAAAATTAAATTTCGAGACCACCATTTATTTTTGTCATTCCTAAAATAAGAGGATTATTTCAGATAAAACGATTTTAAATTTTGTTTATTTCCTGCTTCTAAGTCTAATGGTCATTTTCAGGCCCCCTCATTCTTGGCCCCCAGTCCAGTTTTGCAGAGAATGCTAAAGGCTCTGAGGACAATGTGTCTTCCCACACCCCAGGAGGCTCTGCTTACCACCAAGTGTGGTCAGACCACGGCTACTCTGTCTGTGTTCCTGTTGATTTTAGAAGAAAGATGGTAGTATGAAAGTTTTCCTTACCCTGTGGGATAAAATCCCTGGAGGTCGACCAGGAGGAAAAAGCAAGAAAGTTGTAAAAACTCAGAAATATTACTTAGTTTCCATCTTTTCCATAATGATGAATAAATTTGAAGGAGTTCAGAAATAGATGCTTGTACCTTCTAAGACTGGCTGGATTTTCTATTCTTGGCCAGACGTTTGTTCCAGGAAGAATTCATCCAACAAACATATGCTCTTATCAATTATTTTCTTAGGAAAGCTTGTCTTAGTGTAGGGGAAGTTTTTAAGCTTTTCTAATGAATCACAGACATGAGGCAGGAGGGAGAGAGCATCAGCCTGTTCCTTTCTGACTGGTCTAACGTGAAACCAAAAACTATGGAGTACGAGCAAAATCGCCCAAACTGTACATCTTTTCTATGCAGGAACTCCTTTTATGCCAGTCACTGCTGATGCCTGAGAGCCAGACGTGGCTTAGGGAACA